TTATTGTTCATTCATTTTTGTGTATTCAGATTTATATTCCAGGTTGTTAACAATTGTGCTGCTAAGTCCGGTGTGACCGTAATGTGAATATAGATTCTGTTATAAGTCTCTCTTTCCATTTGTTCAAATTAGTTTTTAGAATACACACATTGTTCCAATCGATATTGTGGTTCTTGTCCCATGCATGTGCAGCCACAGATGAATTTTTTTCAAGATTTTTGTAAGGTTGTGTTCTTGTAGGTTAACCTTTAGTTAGGTGTTTATGTACATTTACTCTTATTTTGAATGATCTGGACGTTTGACCCACATATTTAGTCGGACAGTCAGCACAAGATATTTTATAAATCAAGTTGTTTTTTTTTATCCATCCTTTTTATGGTATCTTTCAGTTGATTTATTTTATTTTTGATTAGATTTGTCGGTTTAAAAGCTGTATGAATGCCGATACTTTTGAGGTTTCTTTGAATTGCCTCTGATGTACCATTTTTATATGGTATTGTGACTGTTTTTTTGCATTCTTCCATCTTGTTATTCTCCGGTTTTACCCTCTTTTTTTCTTTTTTATATTATCTTTTATAAATTGTTTTGGGTAGTTGTTTTCGAGTAGCATCTTGAATAGGACGTTTATTTATATGAGTACAAATCATAAATGTGTGAATTAAAGAAGCAAAACAATTCCAACAGTTGGTGTGTGAAAACGGGCAGTAATTTTGCTCGAAATATTACCAATAACAAAACTTGTCATTGTATGTAAACTATTGAAGTATAATTATACTTTATTTAATTAATTCTAGGCTAGAACTTGATATTGAAAAGAAAATTTGCAGTCAGTGGAGTACAAATGATTGTCATGATTTCAGTACCTCACGTTCTTGGTAGAACATAAAGCTTCGAGCTTGACCCATAAAGTCTCAGTAGCGATGGAGCTCTGTTAATGGCAATAAGGCTGCTAGGATGTGGCCCGGCTTTTCTTGTTAACCAGCCTTATTACAAGCCATGTAAGATTCAGTTTCCTACAATAGACTCACAAAATGCAGGTTATTAGGAGATTCCCTGAAGGGTGAAAAACTTTAGATCAAATTCGCAGTTTGCAAATTAATTCAAAATTTTCAGTTTGCACAACTCGAGGGTTGAAATTTGACTTTAGTTTCCTTTGGAAACCAAGTTATCCCGGTCACAGTATGTGAATTTCTTGACACCAAAAATGGTAAGGAAGAAAGCAAACAAATCTGCATAAAACTACATACTGTTGGTTGATTCAGATGAGTAACTGTATACCACGCATATCAACCATCAGTACTTACTAGCCCGTTTGGCTCGTTTGATGCCCAGCTCATCAGCTGTGTATCCAGTTCGGATCAGTTCAGACGGCCGAAACAGTTCAAAGCAGCCGATTTCAGGTTATCTGTTTCGTTGAACTGGTCATGCTGTAAGTCAGATTCATAGTTTGCAAATCGCTAATGAATTCGCAGTTTACACAGGTGACAAGCAGTTAGGGCCTCAAACGTTACTTGGTGGAATTTCAGGCTTGAAATTTAATGGTAACTGGTTTAAATCTGTTTGGAACTCAGGCAATTTTTTCACATTCATCGAAAATTAGCAAACATGACTAGTAACTTGTTACCAGGTTTGATAATTTCACAGCAAGGAAATCGGCAAAGAGCTTTTGAAACCTTTGTTTTTTTATTTGTCTCAAGGATTTAATCTAAACGAATTTGATCATATGACTGTCCATATGCTTTAATTTCATCTTAAAATTGGTCAGTTGACTTAGGTTTGTTGGAAATACCTAATGTTTACTTACACAACAGATTTATATTGGAAATGTCCGCGATTAATAAAGTAAACAAGTGTACTGTACGTATAACTTAGATATATTTGTCTAAAATTCTGATGAAGATCATAGTGCATCACTAAGATCTTTTGATTGGTTGGAGGATTTCATCACGAGCTTACATCCGTTAGAGGTGTCAGTTCATAATGAAATCCTTCAACCAATCAAACAAAATCAATACAAACCAATACTTCAATGTCAATGAGGTGCTCACTAGCAACTGGCCATTTTCAGATAGATAGTTATCTGGGGTTCTAGTAGAAAGTCATGACCAGTAGATTGCAGCAGGTTGAAGGTGAGACAGTAACTCATCGACGAAGACATTGTGAAGTCATCGTGCTATGTCGTGAATTGTGAGAATTCGAAATTCATGGACCGACCATTGGATCGGATGTGTCCCAGTGGCTTAATGTTCTACGAGCTAGCTCGCCTTGTAACCAGGAGGTCCTGGGTTCGAACCTTGTTGGTGGGGGCGTACTGCTGAATAAGAGTCCCAAACTAGGCTGACGAAACAGCTGTCCAGTACTCCCAGTGGGTTTTCCAATGGTTGTCTAACAGATGTCAGCTCCTCCAACGAACCAATCAATCAAAATTTCCTACAAAACCAATACTTGAGATTTTCAAGTTGTTTTATTGTTTTGTGAATTTCAAAATGTATACTAGTAAAAATCAGTTACCAATTAATGACGATGTACATGGTTCGAGGAGTGAAATTACATCATAGTTTCAGATCGACTTACAGATCCCAGTATGTGATCTGCTTGATACCATAAATTTGGTTTCTCTGACGGCAACTGTATTGAAATTTCCTCCCTCGAACTGTGAACCTTACAAATTGCTAATTGATTTGCAAATGGCGAACTTGGTTTAAGATAACACCACTTTGCTCAAGTATGTGGTCAGAAATCAGATGGTTTGAACGGATTCAGCTTTCTAAGTTAATCTAAGCTAGATCACTTCGATCTGGCTAGCTAGCAAGCACTACTACTGGTTGATGTGTGTGATAAACAACTACTTATCTCAATTAATAAGTAGTATATAGTCTTATCACGAAAGTAATTAACTAGTGGTTAACTCTTCATAGATATCACTTATAAATCAATCACCAGATGACAGCTTTTGATTGCAATATGTATATATATATGTATCAGATAATTGAAAAGTATTAAGGCTACCATACTCTGACTTAATCCAGCACTAAAAACAGCTGCAATACTGAAACAAGAATAAAAAATTCCAAGTATAGCTCTGCTGAACCCAGCATAAGAAAAACGATTCAGATTTTCAACACTAAAATTAAGTCAGTAACTACTTCTATGCGGTTCGGCGACTTGATAAGCGCACTGTCATGAACTTTTACAACAAATGACTGGAGACTTTCCCCAAATTTGCCTTCTCTGACTCAATCCTGAAGATTTGATGGCCGAACAGAAAGGATAAGTAACAATAAACTCTGGAGAAGAACCAACCTATTATTATTATTGTTTCCTTTTGTTCCTAGAGGAACATATGGCTTCAACAGCAAGTCTCCATTGCGTTCGGTTCGTCGCGAACATTTTCACCTGGCTTCACGTCCGCTCACTTGCTTTCATCTCCTCTTCACATTACCTCCTCCATGTCACCGTACCCTTGCACTGACGACCAACAAACTCGCGCTTCCCACTCGGGTTCCACTCAAGTGATGGCCTGGCGTGTGATGTCGCTCTTTTGATGGCTTGCTCAGAATATGGCCAATTCACCTACCTAAATTTCTTCCTGCATATTTGTTGCACAATTGGTTCCTGCTGGGTTAGTTCGCTCCCAACGAATTACCCAACAAATATTCTGAAGGAAATACGGATGGATTGGGCATACACTGAGGAAACCGTTGAGTGATATCACGCCCTAGGAAGCCGGAAATAAAGACGTGAGTTGGACATCTGAGTTTGACACGGAATAGATCGTATGATGACGAAATGAAAGCTTATGCATAACTGTAGAGCCAGCCTAAAGAGATTATAGAGAATACCGTGAAATGGAGATATGTTTCTGAAACCCTCTGTTCCACTCGGAACCCAAGTGAATGATAATATAAAGATTATAACGATAATATTTTTAACAAAGTACTCGAAAACTGCTCTTCTAGTGGTAAATTATGAAACTAACAAATACATATATGCGTAGCTAAGCCGTAAGTAGCACAGGAATACCAGTCATTGGCTTGAAACTTGTGGACCATAATAAATTTAGATTACACATGTAAAAGTGGGTGAACAAAACTGTTTCAAATGTTATCATAAGTTATATGGCCTTAAAACAAGCCTTCTTATACGATACTATTCAAGGCATTCCTATTGAATAATAAACACGAAAGAGTTAATGAGGTTCTCACAGTGTCAAAAGCAATGAAGATGCACCCACAACGATAATGTAGAAGGTTTTATAGCTCAGGTGCATGATATTGAATTAGTTGCGTTCTCTGAGGAGCTAGTTGATGGTTTAACAGCGAAGCTTTCTCTGTCCACTTTCTAGACAACATCCTGCTTCAGTGCAGGTTTTAGTATAAAATTGACTGATTTGAATTCTTCATGAATGATGTCATTCTCTCTTCTCCTGATAACCACTGTCGTGACTGGTTGTTAATTTAAATCTCTATCACCCACAAAAGAACCTGTGTCCAAACATTGTTGAAAGGAGTTCAAACACACTGTAGTACTTTTGTGTTGAAGAAAATGGAGGAAAAGTACCTATTGACCGTCTTCGAAAGTAATGCATATCCTCAAAATTTCATCAAAATGTATTGAAACTCGAGTTATAACACCAACATCAACAAGCTGACATCAAAGACCACAAGAAAATTCATCCTACCATATATAAAACAAATATCTCTGAAATAACAGCTAGAATATTAAGACCGTTTGAAATAGATATAGTACACAACCCAGCCAGCCAGCACAATCACTTCATGCATTGATATTGCTCAAACCAAAAGATCCGACAGTAAAAGGAGATAAAATTAATACCATTTACAAACTAAACCGTATGAAGTGCAATAATCATTTCGTCGGTCAAAGTGGGCTTCCCTCCACCCCTATATGCCCTATCTAAGAGCAAAAATTGGCTGTAAAAAGACATGCACTCAGTTATCTAGGATTTTATACTAGAATCTAGATAATATCAAACTCACCTTGTTAACAAACGGTGGACATCCATGTTCTGCACCCCCGAAAAATGAGAATCCCCAAGGACGTTCACTGTTTGGCCGACGTAATGAAATTGTCAGCGATGGCCCACTTTGTTCAGATATAACTTGTGATCCAATATGAATAATATTTCTCGTTGGACTTGTAGGCTCTTCTCTCGGTGAACAGGTTCTGCGAACAGGATAATGCATTGTTGAAGTAGAATTATATTGAGGTGAGGCATTTTGATTTGATAGTTTAGCTGAACTTTGATAGATTGGTCTAAGCGGACGAGATCTAGAGATGGACATGTTTTGTGATGAAGTTTTCATAGGTGCTGGTGTTGGATAGGTTGGTGAAAATGCCACTGGAGCTTCCGTGTTGTTGGCATATGAATTATTACTCTTATTATTATTATTGATAATATTATTATTATTGTTATTGTAGAAAGATGTTGCAGGGTGATTATTTAAATAGGTAATCTTAACTTTTGGTTCTTCATTCAATTTCAGTGTCTGCACTTGTTCTTGAACAAAATTCACTGAATCATTAGTTTTAGAATTCATAGTAGGAACCTCATTGTAGATAAGACGACTATGTGCATCTGATTCTTCAGATGCAAGAGTCATACTTTCTGATAATTGCTCTTCATATGAAAATTCTGTAGCTGTTGCTTGAGGTTCTGGTTCAGTTAGATTGCTGTCTTCTATCTCAGGTTCAAATTCATACTGGACAGAGCTTTCTCGATCATCTGGCGCTGATACTCTCAGGTTGTTCTTATCTTCTTTTATTATTTCTGTAATCTGTACTTCTTCTTCTACTGTCACCTCTTCTTCTTCTCTGTCTTCTTGATTCTCATAATTGTCATTATTATTATAGGTATGATCAAATCTTTGATTTTTCGATGAATCCGATGATGCTGATAATGGTCTACTGTTTGTAGCATGATTGTTTTTCGTCGCTTTTGAATTCACTCCGCCACTTTTATCACGGATAATCTCTTTCATTTTCATCTCTTGTAGAATATTTTGCATTTTCGCCTCGAAAACTTTTTGATCAGCATTATATTTTGGAGGTTCTCGTGAATAGTTGTTACGTTCATATTCCTCGTCGTCATCTTCTTCTGCCTCCGGTTCATCTTCCTCTTCAGTTTTACTCTCTTGCTCATAGTCTTGTTCATTGTCATTCATCACTACTCCTCTGTCAGTATGAGATGATGTTGTTGAGGATACATGATCTTGTTCCATTGTTGAATTTTCGACAGTATAATCTTCAACAGAATCAATACGATCGCCTTCAATAGTTGTTGTAATTGTTGTCTCTGTATTACTTGTAGTAGTAGTAGTAGTCTTAGTATGATAATCGCTAGTTTCTTCTTCTTTTTCTTCAGTCTTCAAACCATTCATATTTCCATTTGTTAAACACAAATTATCCTCCAAACTTTGATAAAATTTGTCAGGAAATAAAAATATTTGAAAATATGTATATAAAGCCTTGAAAGTCGAAATTTTCAATGATTAAATTATTTCACAGATTCAGGTGAATGTAAAACCTGAAATCTGAGGATGTATTGCATAGTTGACGTTTTCTTCTAAGTTTTTTGGGGGGACAAATTAGAATACTGACACACACTCACACACACTAGTGTAGTTGTTGTAGTTGTAGGCACGAAACACACCTATTTTTGATGTATGCAAAAAGAAAGGATTGTTAACCTTTGCTCTCAATTAGTGGTAATGTTTGTCGTTATAACGTTGAAAGTGTAGTGTATTGTGTATTGAAGGCAGAATACAAGTGGATAACACTACCAAAAAGAAACTGCTTTACTAGTATGGCGCATAAATCATTCAATATTAATGTATTGGTTATATACAGCCTCCTTATATATACGTATATATATTTTTGCCTCTGGGTCTCTGGGTTATTTTCCCTTACCTCACTAACTAACTAACTAACTACCTTGACTTCTTTGTAAATTAGTGGATAAATGTTTCTTTCTTTACCTATAGGAAATTGTCTTTCAACCAATTAGATTAATAGTTTAGGATAGAAATGAAACCAACTGTATGCTTCCAATCACCTGACTGTGACCCATGCACGATGATCAATAAAACCCAAGGTTATGGGTAATTTTGTATCATAGTGCTTCTACTGTGTTGTTATTATTCTGCTATTAGAGAGAGAGAGATGTTTAATCGCATCTCTGTGGCAGTAATAATGTGGTGATTCACGAGAGAATGTAAATTTATAAAAGATAATAGATCATAATAAAAAATTTGATAGAAGTCAGCATTAGATGGACAAAACTGTAGAAATTATTTTTAGTGGGAATTTGACTTGTGTCAAGCTTGATGATGGATTGAAGCATTGAAAAAATCATCAGGGAGTAAGACTACTACTGTACAGGTGTTTCGTCCTCGGTTGGGACACTTCATCAGTATGTATTCATAACTCCACTGGTAGTGATCTAACATAAAACCTTCGAGTTAAGAGGCAAGGTTATTGACCACTCAACCACTGGGGAGGAATCCAATAAGATGACCATGAATTCTGACTTCTGTCAATTTGTGATTTCAGCCCGATCGCCAACCAATATCTGATCCTCACTGGTGAGTGACGACACGACGATGTTGGCTGATCTTCCAGTGAGGGTCTACCAGGTCGGATGTGAAGATAAATATACTTGCTAATAACACTGGCTATCAGTGGTACCAGAAACGGCGATAAACAGAAGACCGGGTTCATAGGGCATTGAATTCCATTCTACTGACATTGCAATCTGAAGGTTCTAGGATGAATTTGTGATAAACTTAAGGGTGATCCCTGATAAACGATCGCAAACTAAAATGAAAATGCTGTTCAGTACTCCAGTACTAGTTTTCAATGGTTCTCTAACTGATATCAATCCTTGACAAAACGTGAAGTAAAAATAATTCGGTTACTATTATTTGGGAACATTAAAAAAATCATATCTGTTAAGGTTTCTATCACAAATGGGGGAATTGTCATCTACTTATCCACAATAATGCTAAGAGACACACTTAATTAGCTAAGCTATTTATTGTAGATACGTGGATAACACTTTCATCATTTATAAGAGATACCTTAACAAACAAGAGCTTTTGAATTCTGTTAATTATAAACATCATAAATGTTGAGATTGATTCAGAGGAAAAATAAAACTCCTAGATAACATTTCTTGGGAAAAGGATTAAAGCAGAAAGCCAATATGGTTCTACCTAGTGTTTATAGCAACGACAATGATTATATTCCAGCTTCTAATAAAAAGGATATATTAAAATGTCTCACAACCTTAAATCCATCACACCGCCTAGGTCCTTATGGTGTAGGAAGCAGTTAACTTCAGAAGCGTGCAGATATTTCATGTCATCCTCTTGCACAAATTTTTGATGCATCATTTCACAGGGATACAGTACCTGTTGCTTGAACAGAAATGAAGGTTGTGCTTCTGTCAAAATCATCTTCTGGATCAGGTCTTTAAGCGTTTAGGCCCATCGCCATCACATCCCCGTTTCTGAAAACTATGCAGAAACTTCTGTTGATTGTTTTTAAACCTTCTTTAAAGTATTTCAAAGATCCAAGGCGGTTTAAGTATAAATGAAGTAAGAGCATTTGAGTTGATGCCGCTATATTCCACTAAAATACTATTTCAAGGCTTGATAAGGGTGCAAAGTGTTTTCAAGGCTCTTTTGTAGACTACACTGCCGCCTTTGAATCTATTCCTAGGCATTTTTACCAAGGAAGTTGACTCTAGCATGCACTGAGTCCTAGGTCAGATGGTGGCTGTCTTCTTATTTTCCAGGCAGAAAACAACATTCCGTTTTTAACGGAAAGTACTCCACTTCTTTGCTTGCAGAAGCTGATATGCCTCAAGTTGCTGTACCGTCTCTATTTCTTTTTTTCTTCTTTTTTGTATGACCTACTGTATTCTTCCAAAGTAAATTTCGTTAAATGGGATGATGATCTGACGATTTCCGTCTTGACCTTTTTCACATTGAATTGTTCTGATATGAATCGATTCTTATCTGAAGTTAACAAATGGTCTCTCTCAAATGGTCTTAAAATGAATCCATCTAACTGCCACACTTCTGATTTTAGTTTCGGATGCGAACAGTGCTTCTGTAGACTGATTTACTCCAATGATTCGTGTGATATCAACGGCCCTGTGGTAGGGAGTAAATCTTCTATCTCCTATCTTTGCACCAGTTTCAAGTGTAATTTCTGTTAGTCGTCACATATCTTATCAATTTCTACGAAAATATTTCTTTTGATTTATTACATAAGAAGGTTAACACGTTCTGGCATAACTCAACCTCTTTTCCCTTATAGTTTATAAATTGATGTCTTCTACCCACTCTTCTTTATTATTCAACCTTATTCTTCCCTCAACTTCTCAAGAAAGACTATGCCACATTACTTAGAACACTGAAGGCTGTAAGTAGGGTTAGTGGTGTGCCTTTGACGATATATATATATATGTATATAATTTATAAGGGGAGCTAAATTATTACAATATTTACAAACGCTGAAAATTCCATTCTGTATGCGGGTCTTTTCAAAACGTGTTAGAGAATATCATCCAGCATGGTTGCAAAGAGGAGGCACTGGTTCAATCAGAAGCGCCATAACTGAACACCTCGTCAATACCTGTCACAGAATCCCAACTGACTCATCATACAGAGTCATTTACAAAGTAAACAAAAATCTACTAAAAGCAGTGTGTTTCCGACTTCTTTGTACTGCGAAAGCTCTCACCAAATGCATCAAAATAACAAAGCTATGTGTTCAAAAGAAACTGGTGCAGCCTTTACAACTACCGTGGACCTAGTTTGGTATGTTCCTTCAGCTTTTTAGGTTCTGTTCTCCGTGTGTGTAATTTTCTCTCTTTATCTTCGTTCAATTCATCCAAATAACTCAGTTATCAGATCAGTTATTTTAAGTTTGTTTCTATGCTCCTCCTAATCCAACTTGTAATCCGTTTACAATAACTATTTTACAATAATGTTTTAATCCTGTGTAATTTTTTGTTTCTATGCCTCTTGTAATCTATAGTCACACCTCCTAACTTACATTTCAAGTTGAAAATTTTGATTTGAATTTGTTTCCATGCTCATTTTGTTCACACCTGTAACTGGTTCTATCCCTGCGTAAGTCTTGTTTCTAAGCTTCTTGTAATTCATATCAAGTTGAAAAAAATTATCACCTTTTAGTCGCCTTGAAAATTTTTCCTCCAGTTATCAAATATTAATCTGTCATAAGTTGTAACTGTTTTCTAATCCTATGCAATTTTGTCTCTAAGCCCCTTGTAATCTATATTCGTACCTTCAAACTTACATATCAAGTCGAAAATTATTATCTCCTTCGTTACTACGTGGAATTAAATAAACAATAATTGTATCCATGTAAACTAATATATATAAATACGATTGTACAGCTTTTGAGAATGAAATCTCCAAAAAGATATCTTTGCTGAACTTGTTCTTTACCCTCTAATATCCCGATGGATATTTTCCATGATTAATGATTACCATTTAGAATAACAAAAATATTCATTCAGACATCTATAAAACACAAATTGATTGAACAAAGAATTTCCTTTTCGATAAATTCCTCTTCTGACTCTACAATTATATATATGCATGTTTATATACATAGAATATTCTAGAATTGTAGTCAATAACAATATTAGCACTTTTTAAAATAATATTGATTCGTTAAATAAGTTCACAATGGAATTACCACAGATCATTAAAGATGCTTAAATTATAATAATAATAAAGATATAGTAGCAAATAGAATATCAACTAAAATTAGGGAAATTCCACAAAAATTCAGGATCATTCAAACGTAGGTGGCCAAAGTAAGGATAATGTTTGAACTAACTTCTTTTGGACGCACAAATTAGGCTTCTTGATGTGGATCCCAATGGCCAGCCTCAGCAGTATTTAGTAGTCAAACTCTTAAGGCGAAATTGAGATTCGTAGGTATGTGGTAAATGACCCTGAAAGGATGGTTAACGTCAATCTTGTGTTCTGTATCCACAAGATGAGATAGAATAGCTCTGCGAATAGATTTTGTTTGTCCTTTGCTTAACCACATAGGGTGATGTTCGGATCTCTAACGAGAAACACACATAATTGTACGGCCTATGTAACTGGCTCCACAGGAGCAGTTAAATTGGTAGATACACATGGAAGAGGCGAAATTGGGCAGTTTGTCTTTTACTCCCATTTTAACTATACTATACATGTTTTCATCTCCTTTTCACATGATCTTGTCCATGTCAGTGTAGGACATCCAATCACCCGCTTCTTATTTGGTAGGTTCCACTGACTGGCCTAATATGTGATTCTTGTTAAATATGTCTTCAGTATATGTCCAGTCC